AGGACAGAAATATAATTAATGATAAGGCTGGTAGTTGAACATAAGTACAAACATGCTCTTGAAAATCTGAATAGTGCCAAACTTTTCCGCAAAAATTCCAAGAAAATTTTCAAATAGCGGATTTCCAATGTGCGCTGTGTAGATATTTGAAAAAACTTTAGTAAGGAAACCCATAATAGATAGAGAAATAAAAAGTGTGAGTAGTGAAATGACTTTCGCAGTGCTCAAAAGGTCTCCATCAACCACAGCAAACCCATAAAACTTTTTTGAACATTCTCGAGCGCATTATAAGGTTCACAAAACGGAATTATTGGCAGGTTTATGACACCGCGCTATTGACCTTACTAGGGAGAAAGAGATGAAGTTATGAAGAATGCTCATGTCTAAATCAACCTTCCTTTCCATTTCAGTATGAATAGCCTAGTGATAAGTGTTTCGCTCAAACCTCTCAAGATATGAATTAAACTGACTGAAATTAAATCTTAGCAAGATTGTCTCCGTATTTGCGGGTAGGATCAGTTCATATCAGTTGGACTTAATTCGTATGAAAAGAGAAATGAAAGAATATGCAAGAAAATCGATTATTTCGAAGAAGGACTCACGTATGCCCCATGTAATGTCCCATACACTCCATTTCTTGTTTTTATGCTCAAGTTTCAAAGAATATTACTAAAATAGAAGGCTCAAGGCAAAGCAGCTCAATTAATTAGTACAGTTCTGCAAAATAATTGCATGTGGATTTGTGAAGGAATTCGTCCCCTGCACAGAATAAAGGCAGTTCGACTTGCGGGAACTGGTTCCGAAACATAGGCCATTGAGGACGAGAGGCGGCGTACGATTTCGCCTCGAGCGCGGCGGAATCGATTCCACTGCAAGCCGACCAGCAGATGATTGGCATTCACGCGAAGGTTAAACGGGCCTTTTGTAGAAATGAGAGCGTTCTTGAGGAGAAGAAAGAACAAGAACGAACTTGAAAAAAAAGGAAAATTGTTAACCCTTCCAGAAATAAATCGCAATCAAGTATGTTAGAGTATGAAGGTGTCATGACAAGAACACATGTAGAGCACGTAGCCTCGACAGCTACACTTATATGAATCGTTATCGAATTCAGGATTCAAATGAGTGACGAATTCTCTAGAGATTGTCAGCTTAACGCTCGTAAACAAACGATAAGGTAAGAATTTCAGCTAACAGAGGCTTGTTCCGCTGCGCAAGCAATTCCGTTATCTCCACGTATCAGGTAATTAAATGCCTGTTAAACGGAAAATATTGAACAACACCAAACAAGCTAGAAGAACTCCGTCACCTAGTACAAAAGTGTGAAACAGAGATAGCAGCTTTAATGCATCGATGAATCGCGGCTTACCGACTTTCGTAGGAATACCAAAATCACACAGATACATGAGCTGGTTGAGCTATCACCGACAAACTTCCAATCTTCAGAGAAACCAAATTCTTGATCACTCAACACAAAACCTTGTATTAGTATTATGTATTTGTCACAAACCGCACAGTGCTCACAGTAAGAAACAATAGAGGCCTGGTGCGAGATAGATCAGAGATGTTTACCGAAGCACTTCAACTTCAAAGAATGAATCATACACACTTGAGCCCGATCGCAATATGAATCTCCGATTCATTAAAGGACTAGTGGTCACCGAAAAGCGCGCTCCAATGCGATGACTGCATTGATTACGGTGTTGTCGCGGTGCAAAAAGCTGAAATGTTGTGCAACACAGTCGGTGTCGGCCACGCTTTCCTAAAGAACCATTTCTTCAAGTTCAATGCTGTCGAACGATCTTAAGCGTCTAGTTGTTCATGACCTCACGATATCCCTTAATTACAGCGAAATTATCTACTACTTTCAGTCCAGTGTGGCATAAAAATCGCTCCCAATGAGCAAAATGCCCGTTCCCGATGGATCCAACACTAAGAAGACTTACTACAGGAACAAGAACATCCAAGCGAAGAGGAAGCCCAATAATGGTGGTGGAACTTCGAGTCAAGGTGTGTTCACAAGTTCTATTATTCGACATCATATGAAGTGACTATTCATGGGCGAAATCGATAGATAACACCTCTCTGACGCACGACTTCGACAAACTAGTGGCATAGGTCTTGAAAGGTGTCATCCTGTTGGGGTTTTCCTGCTCTTGAATGCCTACTGTTCCCCGTAGGGATAAAAAGGCAGTTCTTGATGAAAGCGACACTGTTCGGCTGTCTAATTTTGACGTTCGCATGGAGATTTTCCTGAAGGCAAGACAGCAATCTAGAAAGGCTTTAGGAGGTGTGGATTTTTGAGGAACGCTCATCTAATTCATAATTCCCTACTTGATGTGCAGTTGAACTCTAATTTAAGACCGCATCAGTAGTGTTGTGGAAGAAATTTGGAGGCTCAGCAAAAAGAATTGATCTGAAGCAATTCGAATAATCTGACAGTGGCGTTTTCACACTAACAGGGGAGGTTTTCAGGGTATGGAACTTTTTCAAAAGGGTTTTCTGCATCTTGTGAACTTGTAAGTTGACAAAAAAAAACCGAGGCCAGTTTTCGCTGCGCGGCCCTGTGAAGGCCAAAAGTGATAAAGAAATGGGTCCAATTTCAGTTTTCCAAGGATGAGCAAGGTTTTGCGTTTGTGCGCTAGTATTCGCGCTGCAGATTTGCATACCAAATAGCACAGCTAGCCCTGAAGGTGTGCAAACCATGATCAATCGAACCCATTGCAGTGAGATTTCCACGGGAATTCGTAAAAAACACGTGCTCTGAGCAAGAGTAGTGTTGCCTCATTTCAAAACGGCCCAAATCAGAGGCTCGTCGATGTGAAAAACGAATCTCGTTATTTGCGAAACCCACTTCGGAAAGCCCTGCAGAGTACCATAACCAACGTTCGTTGAAATAGCGTGCGCCACACCTCTAGACCCCTCTTGTACGAAGGATGGAGTCCAACCAATCCATTCAATCGGATTCCATTATGGTGGAAGATGCTTCGCATATCTGGCCGAACGTTATACATTCCTATTTCACCGATTCTCGCTCGAAACCCATACTCCGATAAGCCATAGATAAAATCAATAAGACGCGGTCGCATACAACAGGCTCACCCCATGTAGCTCTGCTGGTGATGTTGTCGTCTCCGGTTAATTGTTTGCGAATGTCTGCGTGAAGCTCCACTGAGAGTCCTTTAAGTATTTCATTCGAGTTTTTGATTTTGCTTATTGATGTATAATCCACTATAATTTATGGAAATTTGCTAAAAAATCTACATTGAATGCCAAGGCAAATCGCAGCCAGTATGGATTGAAACGCTGTCCAACTAGATAAGCCCTGTTTTATATATGAAACGTTCTAATCTCACTTGATTTTGATTATGTAGGAGTTGACAAGTTTCAGTAGGTTTTCGGAAGAGGAAAAGCTATGGTAATTTTCAGTAATCCGCAGCGTTTCAATGATTATGCAGTGTGAAATGACTATTATACATTGAAATCTAACCGATAAGCTTCTTTTTTTTTTTCTGAAAATAAGAGAATGTTGTCGAATTCATATCTTAAGCGATGTTCATTTTTGTCGGTGCTTCTGCTTTCTTCACACGCATTCTTCATGTCAGTATTTCTTACAATGCTTATTTTGAAAATGTATTTATTTGGAATCCATGTGTATGTTATGGCTGAGAAGTTTTTTCGGGAACATTCTCTCGTTCATCTAGTTGTCCATATTCAGAAAAATGTGAAAAATGGTCACACTTGGATCCAGATTTTACTTGCAATGCAGTATACGAGTCTTTTATATGTGTTGCTTTCCTGCATTACCTTTTTAAATGTGCATTTCATTCTTCCCATCATTTCCTCATTTTCGCTGCAAGGATCAGGATAAGTACTCGACTTTATCAGTCTCCTGGAATGTGCCACGCATTCAACTTTGTTTCATCAATAGTAATAGTTCTGAATGCGATCGCCGACTATGAACGCGCCATAAGGAACTGAAGCTGATCGCAGGATTCAGCCAAGTATTTGGCATCGTCAGTATTTGGTATTACAGAAGTGGCGCCGCTTGCCTCTTTATCACGGGTGTGGTTTAGTAGGACAGAACGCGAACTTTCTGCGTTTTGCATGCAACTTTTTTCGCTGCAAAAACCCCAGGTCCGTTCCTCATCAGGGTCAGGGGGGGGGGCGCAGCAACAAAGCTCTGCGCTGCAAAAAGCGGAAAACTCGCTTTCTGTCCTAGTGAATCGCATCTCTTTATCGCCACTTTGAAGTCATGTGTTGTTGGTGATTATCCCTTTCATTTTTGTGCAGTTCTAGTGGAATCAGCCATTCTGTATAGATGTGGCTTTGTGTTATGCCTGACACAGTTTGTATCTTCCCATCCTGATTACATCACTTATTCTCGGTGCTTCCACTTCTGCATGCTTGTAAGAGAAAGCATTCTTGTTTTCCGGTATTACTTTAGTTAGAGTATTTAAGATTGGAAAGAGCATTATAAAGTTCACATAGAAGAAGCCAATCTTCATAGCAATGTTGCATAAGCCAGGTCCAACAAAAGTTTTTAACGAAACATGATAATTTTTGCCGTTCCTTTAGTCGTGGTAGTGCTTTTAACGCCTCTTAAATCCCATATTTTATATGCTGCTAATACAAGGTTTTAAGAACTTCTTGGTGACATTAATTCATTACTCCCAATCATAACCTTTGAATTTCCCTTACTCTTTGAAGGAAAAGAGTTCTTGGTTGTGGTTAAATGAATGAATCATTTTAGAGTCGGCTCCTCGAAACTCGCAGCTGACTCGTGAAGAACGAGCTCAAAACCTGCAGTATCGCAACATTAACATGCAGAAGTATGAACAGATGATAGGCTCTGCTAAGGTTAGTCGCCGGCTTTTTAGAAGCTATATAGTTGCAGTACATCGTTTTTAGGACAACTTCGCGGATATTCCACAAGGATCTGGCCCAGTCGAGGAATGCACGATTTGTTGTAAGACGAGCGATATATTTGGAATAGGAACATGCCGTCATCCTATCTGTATAGAGTGCGCAATTCGAATGAGAGTTCTGTCCAACAGTAGCCAATGTCCCGTGTGTAGAACGACTATGGAAACGGTGAGTGGGAAGCGTACCACTTCTTTATAAACACTTTCAGCCCTGTCGATGGGCATTTGCCATCACCAAATTCAGAGTTCCACATTTCTATCATATTTCTACCACTCGCTGCCATTAGTCGTATCAGACAGCCCTTTCCTTCTGAATACTGTTTTGCAGCCGCATTTCATTCGTGTAGGAAGAAAAAAAGGCCATAGGAAAAACTTTCACACGGAAAATAATTCAGGGCTGAAAGGCTCAATCGTACAAAACAGCATCTGGAGCCCATACTCACCATATCTCTTTCAGTTGTGGTTGATGTTTGTATCGGCTGGGTTGGACACTGTGCTCCTCAGTTTCCCGTCGTTGAAACATCCGGACGAGGAAAGATTCTCCATTCAGTTCCAGAATGCAGATGTTCTTAAACGTTATGAGAAGTATCTGTCTCACGTATGCAAAATTTGTAAGAGGTAATTCGAAATCTATCTTTCGGCTTCAGATACACAGAGAACTCTTATTGCAGCCGTGATGGTGAACGATTGGAATTTCCCACATTTGTTTCGTTGCGGCATCATATGTCGAGTGCTCATGAATTGATTTACTGCCACATTTGCACTGAAAACATCATTCTTTTCTCAAGGTTGGTTCTTTTTCCCTGTGGTGCCTCTTTCCTCTTCAAATTACATGTTACGTGCAGAGAACGAAAGACATATACTCGAGACGCTCTTCAACGGCACATTCGTACTGGAGATAGAGATGACAGAAGTCTGAAAGGTATGAGTTGTAGCATATTTTTGGCCTCACGTGGAGGAGTGGAAGTGCTAGCTGCACAATGGCTTTTCTTGAACGGCATTACGTCTGCAACTTTCTTATCATTTTTTGCTGTTAAGGTCATCCTTCTTGTTTATTCTGTGACCAGCGGTTTTTCGACGAGGAATTCCGCTACCGTCATCTTCGAAAGGAACACTTCTTTTGTCAGTTTTGTGAGACTGAGGGAAAACATCTCAATGTATTCTTCGGGTGAATATTCGATGTGTAGCACGATCTATATTTGATATCTGTTAAAGTTCACATCCTTCTTGTCGTACTGATCGTTTGACAATTATAGCGGTCATGCTGAGCTGCTAGAGCATTACAAGGAGAAACACTTCCTATGCGATTTCGAGGAATGCAGAGCTATGGGGATCGCCTTTTCAAATCAAATGGATCTTAATCTGCACAAGGTTTTTTTAGTCGGCAATAATAGAAATCTATAGACCTCTCGTAGACTTTACTTTTTGGCAATTTTGATTCCACATGTACTTTTTTTTTTGAAAAACTCGACAACAACACACCATTGACGAGACCCGAACCCCGACGGTCAACTTGATCACTTTCATTTTTGCGAGTGTGCTTCATTATTTGATCGTGAAATGGGACAGATGGTTTCTTTTATTTATCTATTTATGAATAAATGAAGGGAAGCATACTACGCGAGTGTTCCAGTACTGTGTCACACATTACATATAGTCGCCATGAACAACTAATCAACTAAAATATGGAATTTGCAGTCGAAGGAACACAGTGGTCGTCGTGCCCCCGTGGCAATCGATTTTCAGTTCAGTGATCGCCAGTTGGCAGGGCCTTCACGGTTGGTTTCTTCGTCTTGGGCGCACCATTTACTTTATAATGGTCCTCTTTGTTCCATTAGGACTCGGCGAGATGGACCACCAAGCGCTCCCAACGTTCCACTAGCACGACGTGACAAGATCGCGGTTGTCCAGCAAGAACCACCTCCGCAGCCTAAACGGTTTGTTTTAAGTGCTCGTTTTCTCTTACCGTTTTCGTTCTTGATGCTTTGATAATGATTCTAATTTTTCTAGGACGGCCGACGAGTTTGTCGTCGTACCGTCAGCGCAACGTAGAACACAGACCGTTCGTTATAGTATCGCACCAGCCTTCACTCCTCAAACACGGGACTTTCCAAGCTTGGGAAATTCTACCTCAGATCCGGCTCTCAACGTGAGCAATGGCATTTGTTCTCATCTCTTCTAATAATTTCAATACCTTTTGTATGGAGCTTAGGTAAAGCCATGTTTTCGGCTTCAGGTGTTGTGTTTTAGAGTTTGCGTCCGGATAACTTCCCCCGTTTAAATCGTGTGAACCATCCTGGTGGAGTACCGAACAGTGTTGCAAAAGCAACTCAGCCTTCGTCAGTGGCAGCGTCATCTTCTGGAGCGCCTTCGTCTTCACGTGCTCTTCAGAAAAATCCCTCATCAGTCCAGTATGTTTACACAACTCTTCCATGATATGAAAGTGAAGCTTACTACTAGACTCAAGTGGGAGTCTTACAGTTTGTATACCTGTGCACTTTGCTTCTGGGATGAGAGATGATGAGAAAGAAGGGAAGAACGAGCAGGAGAGTAAAACTTTAAAAAAGGCAAGGAGTGTAAAGAGTACAACTCAGGGAACAAAAGACGGAGGCATAGTATAAATCTGTGTATTAACTTCGGAGCGCACAAATTGCAACATCAGACTTGGGCAAGACGTCTATAAGCGTGTTAGAAAATTATGAACTCACAAGGGAGGTCGTTCAGGGTGTGGGAAGCTTTTTCAAAACGGTTTTTTGCATGCTGTAGGGGCTCTCACGTAGACCACAATACTGTGTTTCATTTTCGCTGAGCGGCCCCCTGAAGGCCAAAAAATGGTCGAAAAAAATTCGTTAAGAAGGGGTGGTTTTTGCTGCCTTGGAGTGAAGTTTCGGACTTGTACAAACGACCACCTGCATTTTGAAGGGCGCCGATGAAGGTAATATCGAAGCACTGTACGTGGTACTGCTGAAGAAAGTGTAGAGGTTTCATAGGCGTCGTCGGCACCCTACACATCGCAGCGAGCAGGTGGCCGAGTGGATAGCGTGGTGGACTGGGGTTGGCACGACTTTGTGGATCGAGTCCGCTCCTGGGCTAGTTTTTGCATTTTTGATAATCACCTCCAAATTGGCGCGCCAAATTGCTTCAGCGTCAAAATTAACGCTATATTCTCATTCAGGACCGTCAGTAGCCCTTGCAAATGGGTTTTCTACCAAAAATTGGCGGAAAAAGTTCGCAGCGCCAAACTGGCGCCAAATGGCGCCGACGTCAAAAACGAATGCCATAATCGTGTTCAGGACCCTGATCTACCCTCACATGCCAAATTTCAGGAAAAATCGAGGTTTTGACCTAACTTCGAAAAAGAGGGTGGCCATGGTCTACAGGTCGTCATGCACGCCAGGGGGCGACTTGAATACGAGTGCGGCGCCGAAATCAAGCGCAATGCCTTGTCGGCTCACGGGAACTAAAGTTTGGTCTCATAGGGAACATCTTCCATCATGTCGCAGTCCTTGAAATCGCTCCATCTATGGACACGCAGCCTTGCGAGTGGAAGGAGCCGTGGACCCAATATACCACGTCTTGATGAAGGGGAGAATCTGCCGACTTCAAAATCATGGTGCTGTTGCCCATCTGGTGTCTCCCATTGTCCATTTAGCAGTGGAACTTCTCGTTATTTGAGAAGGATAACTGGGAACTCGTTTCCAGTTCACCGGCTGGAGGCAACTATGGGCTACTGACCTATCACTGGCCAATTTTTCGGATCCAGGTCAAATTCTCAATTTTCTCAAGAACTTCTGATTTAGGGAATATCGAGTGCCCTGATCACGAATATGACATCAATTTTTTCCGATAGCTTCAATTTACGCTAGTTTGGCGCCTTTCTGGCGCTACAACTTTTTTCGCACAGATTCTGGAAAAAGTTTGACTGCATTTCTTGCTCATGGTCTTATGATGAGTACGATACCTAGTACTGGTGCTGGCGCTATTTTAAGCAAATTTCGAAGCTCCAACTAAAGTGCAAAAATTTTGTCATCAAGAGGGATTGAACCTTGGACCACTTTCCTCACCATTTTTGGCCTTCAGAGGGCCGCTCAGCGAAAATGAAACATAGTTTGTAGTCCCCGTGAGAGCCCCTACAGCATGCAAAAAACCGTTTTGAAAAAGCGCTCCACACCCTGAACGACCTCCCTTGTTAGTCAAAAGAAATTTCGGGGAAAGAAAGGTTCACGATGGAGATAACCTAAAGAGAGAGCGAGAGAGTTTGCGTGCAGTACAGTTGCGAGCATTACGGAAAGTGATGGAGGAAACCCGCGAAAAGATTGTGATTAATGTCTTTCTCTCATTGGGGGTATTTTATCTCGAATTTGTGGTAATATCATGAATGCTTTCAGATCTTCGAATCAGCGTCAGGGCGTAGACGACTTTCCTGCTCTACCAACAGCGCAAAAGCAGGGTCAGGCAAGTTCTGCATGGGTTGGCAAGAAAAGTTCCAAGGTAAGTTTAGGGTCATCATTACAGCGGAGATGACTACTACATTATTTTACCTCACTTTTGTTTTTTATTCTTGTTCACTTTATTATCCATCGCACTGATTCAGTCTGTCATCGTTGGCTTGTAAGATGCCAAATAGGACTTTGCCACAACCTGACGTATGGCCGGAAATATCAACCACAACGCCAGCCAGAGAAATAGAACCGGAGCAATGGCAAGAGGTACATACACTATTTTGATCTGCGTGAAAATAGGCACTTTTTCAACAGAAATTCGCAATTCGCCTTCAAAATGGGCTTCTTCGAAAGCCGGGGACGATAAGTGTTCAAAGTGATCCAAGTATACCTGAATGAAGTAGGGTAGGCCAGCAGTGGGCGGTGCGCGTCGTAAAGTAGTGATGTTTGAATATGCTATTTGAATTGGAGCAACAAGAGAATGATCAGACAAAAAATTGCAAAGGTTAATAACAGCTCAAAGGACGAGATGAAAGTAAAAACTTAACAACGTGTAGATCCTGTCAATAACCCCAAAAACCTCCCCGTGTGATGCACGCGGTGAGGATACCGTTTCTGAACCTGTTTTGGTATGATGTAGCACGGGTAAATATCATAACATTTTTGTATCCGTCCATGCACGCCAATCCATTAAGAATTACAGTGAAAAATGAAGGGCGCACTCTTAAAGCGTCTTATGTATACATTTCTTGTATATTAAAACAGTCTACGCTAGATGCGATATCACTGTCAGTAATCTTTTACCAATCATTTTTGTTTCGACTATTTCAGGTACCAGCTAAACCCCAAAAGCTGGACAAGAAAACACGGAAAGCGCAGCAGAAGGTCATCAAGATGGATGCTAGTAGTACATCAGATGAGACCCAGGAAAATCCTTCAGCGCTTAGTGCTTCAACCGTTGGTACCATTGGGAGCGAAGTTCCAACCGACTTTAACATGGTCAAAGTCACCGGAAATCTTCCTCCAGTGAAGACCAAGAAAAAGAAGGATGTGGTCAAGGATGATCCATTGGAAAACCAGGACTGCAAAATTAGTCAGCCCACTGAGGTGAAAACTGAAGTGGTCTCCGAGTCAAATGTTGGATCCAAAGACCTTTTAGCAGAAGTTGAGAAGTATGTGGAAGAGTCGGCTACGAAAAGTTCTCCTCCAGCTGAAACGGCTTCTCAAAAGTCTTCTATTTTAAACTGGGTAGGTGTTCTTTTTCATTTTATTTGCACTTTTTCGAGGCTCTCTTCTCTGTTGCTGTCGAACAACACGTTAATGTTCGCAGTTTATGAAGATTCTGAATTAAAGGTTTTCTTTTTCTAAACTCTATCTCAGAAAGTACAGAAAATTCACTTCTTCCCTCCCTTGAGTATTTGACCACTTTCAGTTCACTTCCTCGTCATCTTCCATATTTTCGAACCTATCACTGGCAAATGTCATGGGTGCGAAAAATGTTGAGC